AAAAAAAAAAAAAATTGAAGACAATGAGGCCTTTGGTGGTGGAAGTTGATGCCCTTATTCTTGTCTTGCATGTTTATGTTTAGGTATTGTCTGATTTTATTTGTAATTTAATTTCATTTGTTACTATGGTATTTTTGAGGTGTTTGTGTAATAAAAAGGATATGTGAAAGTAAACACTAATATATAATTTCATCTATTAATATAAAAACAAAATTGAATATTACCTGACATTTTCACAAATAAGATAATTGTGTTGATGAAATTAAATTTTACAAGAAATTCTGTTCAACAAGTTTTGAAATTTCCATGTTGTAGGAAGGTTAGGTTATACTTTCATTTTCTTTCACCATACTAAAGTTTTGCAGGTGTCAAAAAAAAAAAAATCTCGGGTTATTTGTAATATTTATTGAGTTGAAGTCATTCATCACATTAATGAATCACTTAAAGACATAAAAATATTTAAAACGGTTGGATCTACTTCAAGTTAATATTGTTTCAAACGTTAGTTGTAGGTATAAATTTTAAGATTAATATTGAATAAAATTTAATTTTTTTTTAATGCATGTGCATTAAAATTGACTTAAGAACACTAAGGCATTTTAAATATGTTAAACTAGGGTTTATACTTTATAGGCATTGTATTATATACGAAGTCAACCCATGAATGGGTGGATAAGTTAGCACGGGACTCTTCCATCTTCTTCCATCTTAAGTAGAAGTTTTGGTTTCAAATCCTGAAAATGCACTCCGTTAAAACTTATGGGGGAAAACTTTGCCGTCCATTGGGTCTTATTCGATTCATATCCGGATCTATCCGTGGGTCAGTGGGCTTCTGGATACCGGATTATCCGTGGGTCAGTGGGCTTCTGGATACCGGATAATCCATGCAAAAAAAAATTATATATGAAGTGAAAGAAAAATCAAGACGTTCTTATATTAACATTATCAAAATATTTAATAATAGTTATATAATAAATTTGATAAAATTAAAACTCATATTATACTTTATATATTTAATAATTACTATGAAATATTTAATATTTTTAATGATAAGATATCTTAATTTTTCCTTTT